CCCAGGAGCACAGACCTGCAGGCACAGCGCGGAAGAAGGTGGTAAAAACGACACCACAGCCTCGTGACGGGAAGGCCGCCGAGGCAGGCAGGTGCAGGTGAGCAGGCCACACAGTCTTGCAGACCAGAGAGCAGGACCCACAGGGAGGGCTCTCTGGTCCCAGAAGAAAGGCCGTGTCTGACGCTGTTTCTCTTCACACACCGAACATGAGCACTCTCTGCTCCAGGCAGGCAGGCAAGGTGTGACCGAGAGATATGGTGAATATTTTAGAGAAAATTTTTAAATGAATGAGTAAAAGCAATGTCGCCTCAAATCTTCCCCGTTGACTCACAGTTAACCTTTTGTTCTTGTCCCAAGTCCTCTTTTGTGAATGCCTTTGTGAGGTGTGGTCACAAAATTACGGGGAATCCTGCTGCTGAGCGCCATCCAACAGAAAGGCAACTTGTGAAAAACAAAAAACAAAAAACGTGATGCTGTGTCCTCATCCACCTTACTCTTCAGATCTGGTGACTTCTGGCTCTCCTTCTAACTCAAAATGACCATGAAAGAGAAACATTTTGAATTGGTTCAGGCCATTGAGGCAGCCAGGACAGCAAAATTAAAGTCACTCATTGTAGAGAGGACTTGAAGAGGTGCCCAGAAAATAGCAAGAGTGGTACAATAAATATATTTGAAATGAAGGAAATATTTTTGAGGGGATTAATGAAAATGTGTCTTTTAATGTCTTAATTTTAAAAAGTAAACCTTCACCTTAGTTCTCCACCACCCTGCGTACGTCCTACTCAGATATTCTGAAATATGTGAGGGTGCCCTCTCTCACTCTATCCCAAACTTCTGCATGACTTCAGCTAACCTGTGAAGTAACTGCAAAATCAAAGATACCAACTGCAACCCTGCTTCGAATCATACATGGGATGATCAAAAAAAAGCTAAGGAAACTGTGGTACAACTACTGGGAAAATGATAATTCTAGAAAGGTAAAAAAAGCTTGTGAAAAAATCAGGATCTGAACCTGCAGGGAAAAAAATTCAGATGGAAATATTCCAAATGGGTAGTGATGATGCTATTCTTTTCTCTCTTGCCTAAGCTTTATATAACATTTTATGTTATTTCTACAATGACTTTTGAATCTCAAGAACCCTAAAGGTGGGCTGGGGATTTAGCTCAGTGGTTCTGTGCCTGCCTTGCAAGCGCAAAGTGCATGGACCTGAGTTTGATTCCCCGTACAAAAAAAAAAAAAACAGAGAAGCCTAAAGGTGAAATGAGAGTCCTGATTAAGGCAGGGGCAAGACTGCCCTAAATAAATCATGACCTGACTTCAGTGTTTGTTCCTGCCCTTGCAGATTCGCTGTTCCTCCTCATTGTATTCCCGGGCTGGTGTGTTCACTCCGCTTGCTAAGTCTGCCTCATCTCCCCTTGCCCGCACCCCGGCTCGCGGGATCTGGGGGACGGATTGTGATGTCTGCCTGCTAATTCTGCTGTCGCTGGCGCTGGTGTCTGTTTGTTGATTCATGTTTGTTCCAGAGTTTCGCATCTGTGCTGGTCGCTTTGAAACAGTGCCCCGGGGAATATGAAAGGCCATTCTTCTAAGACTGCTTCTTTACAGCAGGGAGTTCTGCCCCGGCTTCCTCCAAATTCCAGCACCGCTGCTATGAGATTAGGCAGGATGGGGGGCTGCAAACCCGCCCGAAGAGGAATGGCACGAAGAGGGTTTGCGTGTCCGGGTCTAGCCCTCGCCTCCCTGGCAGGGGAGAACTTCCGGATGCTAATGGACGCGAGGGGCAGCAGGTCCTGGGCCACTGTCCGCCCGGAAATGCTTTGTGCACTCCCTCTGCCCAGCAGGAATGGCTCCCGCGGAAAAGAGGGTAGAGCCAGGCCTGGGAGAGGCCAGCGTGGACAAAGCCTGCGAGCTGCGTAGGCCGGGCCTCCCGGCGTTTCTGCTGAGCCTGTGGTGCAGGTACAGGGAGCGACATCCCTGGTGTTTCACGGCCGGTGCCCGCGTGAGCACTGAGCTGCGAAATGGACCCAGGCCGGGCTGGGGTTGGAGGTCCCCTGCCGGGTCACCCGGTCCCTGGAGCTCCACCCTGGAGGGTGCGGGACCGTGGCTGGGCGCCCGCTGTCTTAAGAGTAGTTGCGGCAGCAGAGCACACACAGCTCCGGCGCTGGTGCCCGCCGCTCTTCCAGGGTGAGGCCGCTCGCCCTCCCGCCCCTAAGCAGGGCTGCGAGCCCCAGGAAGCCGCTCTGTACGCGCTCAGCCCCTCCTGTGGATCAAGGCAGGTGGCCGGTTGGCGTCGTCTTTCGCTTGCTACAGGCCTGTGAGGGGACGGCGTGACCACCCCAGGCCCGGCCTGCTGAGCTGTGACGGGGTCGGGGCTGGCCCGCTGCCCCAGACCACTGGCCGGCGGGGAAAATCAGCCACGCTGCTCGAGAGCCCAAAGCAGGTGGCTCAGCCCTCGTGGCTCGTGCTCTGTCTTCATCCTTTTACTTAAAAGGATTTTGCCGGCTACTTTTCATCAGACAGCTGGAGTTTGCAGGTTGTCTGATGGGCTCTTTTGTGGTTGTTGTTGTTGTTTGGTTGGTTTTTGGATTTTTCAGACAAGGTCTCGCTATGTAGTTCAGGCTGGCTTTGAACTCATTATGTAGACTTGCTCAGTGATCCTCCTGCCTCAGCTTTCCAAGGCCTGATCGAGAGCTTTTATTTTAGTCCAGAGACTGAAAGGAAAATCACAGTTCACTGTCCGGTGGCCCATTCTGGAACTCTGTGATCAGAGAAGTCCAAAAATGGTGAAGCCCTCGTGGCTCGTGCTCTGTCTTCATCCTTTTACTTAAAAGGATTTTGCCGGCTACTTTTCATCAGACAGCTGGAGTTTGCAGGTTGTCTGATGGGCTCTTTTGTGGTTGTTGTTGTTGTTTGGTTGGTTTTTGGATTTTTCAGACAAGGTCTCGCTATGTAGTTCAGGCTGGCTTTGAACTCATTATGTAGACTTGCTCAGTGATCCTCCTGCCTCAGCTTTCCAAGGCCTGATCGAGAGCTTTTATTTTAGTCCAGAGACTGAAAGGAAAATCACAGTTCACTGTCCGGTGGCCCATTCTGGAACTCTGTGATCAGAGAAGTCCAAAAATGGTGAAGAAACCAGTTGGAAGACTGGATTTCCATTCCCCGTCTACAGATTACAATTGAAGCCCCCTGCACCCCGTATCTGTGGTTTCACTTTGCTCAGTTTCTGTCACTGCAGTCAACCATGGTTCAAAAACATGCAGTGGAAAATTGCAGAAGTGAGTAGCTCATAAGTTTTAAATAATTTGAGTATACTGTTATAGTTAACCTATTTTATTAGTATTTGCTCTAATCTCTTACTATGTCCACTTTTTGAATTTTGTTTTTTGTTTGTTTGGTTTTGGTTTTTTGAGACAAGTTTTCACTATGTAGTTGAGACTGACCTGGAACTCACTATGTAGCTGGTCTTGAACTCACAGAGATCCTCCTGCCTCAGCCTCCCAAGTGCTGGGATTATAGGCATGCTCTTCCATGCCCAGCTTCTAACTTTATAAATTAACCAATTTCATAGATGTGTATCTCTAAGGGGAATGTATCACATATAGGATTTGTTGCCCTCTGTGTGTCTGTGTAGGTCTTAGAGCACTTCCCCCATGGGGAAGGGGACCGGAGCTACTATTCTAGTGTGCTTCTGTAAACAAGGCACATATAAATTCTTAAGTCCTGTGTTACCTCCACTGTAGAGTAGGATCATATTGCACAGGTCATGGGCTTTTAGGATTAAATGAAATCATATATTAGAAAGCTCTTTGCAAAATGAAGAAATGTAAGCAGAATGCACCCATTGTGGGAATCAGTGAAAGAAAAGAACACAGGAAAAATTATGGCAGCTGGATTCTGAAGGAAGCCAGCTATTGAGATCCAAGTTGGAAGGGGGACACCTAAGCCCCACACCGCTCTTCAGAACGTTAGAGGGGAGCAGTGTGTGATGTAGAGAAATACTGGGTCGAGTTTGCTGTCCCCTGGAGGTCAGTGGGGGTCGCATATATGAGAAAATGCATTTGGACCTGTGTGGGAGAACGAGGCAAGGACACAGTGCCGAAGGAAATGCCAGGATGGAGAGAGAAAACAGGAGACAGAACTGCCGCTGCCCCTGTCTGCAATTCATTATCAGCGCATGTGAGACAGCTGGGCTCGTAAGGAAGGAAAACCCACGGAAGACATTTGTAGGAAAATGAATCCGCCTGGGCCCACGGTGCAAGGTGGGAGTAAATCAGACACACGGTTTCTCTTCTACTGGAAGCCTCAAACATAAATAAATTAAAGAGCAAACTAAAGGACAGATAATAGGTAAGGGGAAGATGGGTCTTTTGCAGAAGGAAAGGGGCCCCAGAGAGGGATGGAGCGGGGAGGAGGGCAAGGAAAGTCGAGAACGAAAACCACCAAGTAAATCTGGGCTGGAGAGGCCTGCTCAGTGCAGGGAGACGCCAGAGGTCTCACTGCGGGCCTCTACCGAGCCTGATAGGGCCTCCTCCTGGTTGTTTAATTCTTTTTCTGCAAGTTAACCTCGCATATGAATGTTATATCTCAGGCCCCATCTAGTCAAATGGTGGCTGTTTTCAGGATAACATTTTGTTCCCAAAACACTAGAAGTAGGAACCCGGCATCTTGAATGGGGCTGCGGTTCCGCGAGGCAGGAAGACGGCGCCTCGGCTGACGACAGCGCCCTCCAGAGGTGCTCGCCGGCACGGCCTTCTCCCCTGGCCTCCACGGCGCCGTGGTCCGGGCCTGGGCTTGGTTTGGGGTTCCGTTTTGTTTGGGTCCCTGTTGACTGGTGGTGGCCCGAGTGGGACTCGGTTTCCTGCCCACAAATGAGCACAGTGAGAGCAGCGGAGAGCGCCCTGGGGTCACAGCCGTTCCCGCAGTGTCCAGCTTGACGGGCCTGCCGTCCGTCCTCCGCTGTGACCCTCGCGTGACCAGGGTGTCCTGCTCTCTCTTGCAGCTTTGACGTGGAAAATGGCCCTTCCGCCGGTCGGAGCCCGCTGGACCCGCAGGCCAGCTCGTCCTCGGGGCTGGTGCTCCACGCCACCTTTCCCGGGCACAGCCAGCGCCGAGAGTCCTTTCTCTACAGATCGGACAGCGACTACGACCTGTCACCCAAGGCGATGTCCAGAAACTCGTCGCTTCCAAGCGAGCAGTGAGTACGCGCGTGGCCTGTTTGCAGTCCCTCACTGGCCTCACCCTCCGCTGCTGCAGCCGCAGCCGCTCCCTCAGTACTCTCCCCCAGGGCGGAGGCTGGAGAGCAGGTGGGAGGTGACCAGGCCACTGGCCCAAGGGCGCCCCCTTGCTGCAGCCTGTGGATCGGAGCCGCGTACCGAGGCTGTCACAAACCCGACGCTGTGTTCGCCTCCCATCTGGTACTGATACTTTTAAATTTTTTTCATTGAGCTTCATTTGCTGAACTGCTGAATCAATTATGGAATGAGAGCCTTGACACACTTTGCAAATCACATTGAATTTTCAGCTGCTTGTGCCATTCACATGAGGCTCCTCCAGGAGAGAGGAAAATGGTGGTTTGTCACTTGCATTACCTCTCACCAGCCTTTGCTTGGTGGCATTTAACTGAGCCATTGTCCAGCCACATGCCAGGGTCCCTCGAGAGCCCTCTGGCAACACCCTTGTTTGCTGACTCCTTGGTGAGACACAACACACTCCTTTGCCCTGTGATGTTTTTGTTATGCTGCTATTAAAATGTAGATCTCTAACTTTTACTTAAAGAGCAATAGCACTGCTGTTTTGCTTGTTTATTGTTTTGTTTTGTTTTGTTTTGACACAGGGTCTCACTATATAGTTGAGACTGATCTGGAACTCACTATGTAGCCCAGGCTGGTCTCAAACTCACAGAGATCTTCCTGCCTCAGCCTCCTGAGTCTGGCTGGGACTACAAGCATGCGCCACCACGCCCGGCTGTTATTGCTTGTCTATTAGATTTCTCAAGTCAAATAAAACCGGCTGCTGAAATCCATGCCTTAAAGATTTCTAGGCACACGTACAATTGTTTTTAATATATGTTATAAAAATATTAGTAGTTCCCTAAAGTCGCCAGCCTGGAAAATTCCACCAGGTTCTCCTTCTATTAGAAAGACAGCCAAAAACGTTCATCTTCTTGTGATGTGGAGAGGGCACATTTTAAACTATAGCAGCAAGAAAGGGTTCCCCACAGCATTTTTGCTGACAAATTCTAATAAAGCACCCACCCTAAATATTTCAATCACAGTGTGCCCCAAATTTCACTTACTTTTTTCATTCCTTTGTCAAATATTTACTGAAACCCTCCTATGTGTGACGCAGTGTGCCAGACTGTGCATAAATGAGGAACAAAACAGAGGGGAAAATCACCAATGAGTGAAAACCAAATGTCATCCGCCGAGAGTTTGTATGTAGTTGGGGGATTACAGCTAAAAAGGAACAACGCAAGGAGCACACGTACACATGTGACCAACACCTCGTGACCATTTACCCTGCCACTGGGATTCTTCGCGTGTTATGTATGTTATCTCATAGCAGCTGGAGAAACGGGGTCCCCAAGAGATTGAGCATGACTGAATTGGATGCTATACCCCACAGTGCAGCTAAGGGTGATTGTATTAGAGCCATGATCTGTTACTATAACAAAATACCCGAGCTTGGGTAATTTACAAAGAAAAGAGGTTTGCTTGACCCAGCCTTCTAGTGGCGAAGGGTCTGAACAGCATGCACTGGCCACTGACTGCATTTCAGTCTGGCTGAGAGTGCAGAAGGGGCCGTGTGAATGAGAATAATTTCCTCTGCGAGGGGTACTCTGACCCTCCCAACAGCGGTGCCCAGGGCCTAATTGTCTCCTCCTGTGGCCCAGGCTGACCTCTTAGCTCCCAGAGTGGCTTTGCTGTGCTGGGGACCCAGCTTTTAGCATGTGACCCTTTGTGGTCCAGGCCCAGACTGTACCCACACCCTGGCAGCACCGGTGTGCAGACCGTTTGGACTCATTCTTGTCTGTGTCCAGCTCCACAGTGGATGAGTCACAGAGCAGGCCTCTGAGGCCGGGACTCACGCACAAGTGCCATCCCCTCTGGCGGGGGCTCTGGAAGTGGCTGTGCTGGGGATTCTATCCTCCCTGCGGTGATCGAGAGCTTTCCAGTCCCGCCGTGAGGGGACTGGGGATGTGGTGAGCTTGAAGGGACGGGAGGTTCATTCACATGGCATTTGGAAGGGAAGAGGCGGGCCTCGGAAGACAGCCGTTGTGCAGAACCATCCTGAGCTGGGCTCTTCACACTGAGCAGTGCTGGGCATCTCCGCAGAAGGCACTCGGATTCCAGACGAATCCCTGGTGTCCCCTGCCTGGAATCAAAAGGCACGGAACGCTCACACTTGAAGAGACCTAAAGTTCACCATGCAGCTCGATTTGTAGCTGGCAGACAGACACAGTCCCGTGTGCCTGGCATCCAGAGCCCCTGGCGCTCACGGTGCACCCGGCTCTCACCTTTAGTGGTCAGTGAAATTCCCTCCCTGACTTCAGAACCTATGCAGCATTGCCAGCTTTAAATTTATGCAAATAAGGGTTAACTGTGTAAACCACATAGAATCTCCCTCACTTTTTAAATATAAGGACTTTAAGGATTGAACGTGGGAAGGGCACAGTCTCATAGTACTGAGCAGGAAGACCCACTCGGCAGCGCAGTACCATCTGTCCTGAGTCACCGATACGTTAAAATGCTCGGGAGTGAGGCAGGACACAATTTTTATTTTGAAAATATTTCAACATTACAGCAAAAAAAAAAAAAAAAAAAAAAAAAAAAAAAAAAAAAA